CTGGGTTTGATTTTGTTTTAACCTTCTCACCACATGTTTCAATTCTCCCGCCACGTGCCCTTCTCAGAGAAATCTCGGCGTCCTGTACGATGTCGCGCGTGAAACTGAAGAACAGTCTATGCAAATTGTATCAAAATGAAAAATTATGGCACCAACATCGGATAAAAGTAATAACCATGGCGGTATAAACACTTGTAGAAGTTCCAGACTCGGCGAATCATGGGTGCTCGTTCAGCATGGCTTCTAGACGGGACGAGGGCATGTTGGTGGCCAGCCGTTAGCGCCTACATCATCAGGTCATTAATCAATTTATCACAACTCATATCAAAATGATGGCGCCATCGAGATGTTGGGCCCTCGAGTCGAGTGAAGGAAAACAAATACGAACAGGTGACCGCCAAGTGCCCCCCCCACACACAAAAAGCCCCCGAGATAACAACGGGAACAGCCGAGAATCGATTACTGGTCCGCAAGGATCGTGAACATACTTGTGCGGGTATTCGGATCGCATCGACGTGGATGTGCGAGAAAGGTTGTCAGTGATGAAAGAAATTTAAAAGTGGTACCATTTGAGGGAAGGTCTTTCACTGGGTTTCTCAAACAGGCGGCTACGTCATAGTTGTTTTACTCTTTCACATTTTTAGTACTAATAGATGCTTTGCGTTGTGGCCATTTTATAAGGCAGTTCTTTAGCTCCACAGGGAAACCTCCTTTGTGTATACTCAGTGCAAAAAAAAAAAAAAAAAAAAACTGGCCAGCAAAATGGCAACCATGCAAATCCTCCATGCTGTAATCTGTGTTTTCTTTGCGTCTTGTCACAGAATTCTCTGTTGAAAGCATCGATTATTACCCCGAACGCATTAACTGAACGTTTAACACAAAGACATTTAGAAATATGCAAATCACCCAAAACACGAAACTTCAAAAAGACCGTGTTCTTATTAAGATTCAACAGTATATATCATGAGAACGGCTTTGACGGTTGAAAAAGGTCACTTATGTTGACCAATTCGCAACACCAAAAAGCCGTGTACATATTTGCAAACCCTGTGTTAAAATTATGCTTAGGATATCACCAAATGGGCACTTCATTATATGCCACTTTGCATGAGCTTAAAACAATATTGATTATTGTTTGGTTTCAAGGAAAAGAATTCCCTTCCAATATACGGTTTACCATTTCCTCTTTAAACCTGTACAGAAGCTTGAAGTAATTTGATTTAAACCAAACCAGACGATGCCAGAAGGCACACCCTTTTAGCTCCGTGTTTCACTTTTATTGGTTGGGTACAAGTCATAAAAAAGCCCGGCACAAGTGACTTCGGGTCACCACAACCCATTTCCCACAAGCCCCCTGAAACGCCGGCGTACATGTAGCAACAAAACCACACATTAATAGTTAATCATACATATGTTCGAAAAATTGAGCCTGAAATATGACTTCGTGTAAGTACAAGTGTGCCGCCTGTCATGGGTTGTGATGATATAACGCAGGCGTTTGTAATTTCCTGGTCACCGGCTCACCCCGGATACTTTACCCCAGTCGACCGGCACAAATTTCACCGACGCCAGAGGTCTCACCGTCCGCTAGCCTCTCTCGGGGGACTACACGGGTCCCAAGTATAGAGGCCACGGCTATTTCTCTTTGTACATCGACCCTGCGTCGGCATTGGCCAAGTTTTTTACCATCCGCTGATGGGTTTACAACAGCAGAGACCTACATATCAGCCGGGGTCGCCTCGCACCGATTCTGACCTGAGAAATCCATGATTTCCTTTATGTACTTGAAAGTGAACCGTTGTCAGACTAGATTTTTACCCTCGGTGTTCCATGCTTTCGTAGTTAGTGACACAAAGGGCCCCATCACGTTTCCCAGTGTCGTCAAGGTGATTTACCAAGCTACTCACATCCATTTAACACTCTCAACATACCCTCTCTCATCTGGTTTGTTGTTTTATTTATTTGTTTATTTGTTTCCTTGTTTGTATTTTTATATTATGTTGTTTTCAAATTGCAGCTATTTCATGTCTCCTACATTCTACCGGCTGAATTTCTTTTGTTAGGGGAAGTAAGTTGGTGGTACAGCTTTGTGTGTTTCTCCATCTAAACACGCTCCTGACTACTGTCTAAACTATCGAGTCAGCCATTTAATTACCTAGGACCCAAGGCTTGAACAAGTTGTTAATTTCCCGTTACAAACATGGAACGTTCCCATGGAACGGGTGCTTCTGTGTGTGATCCACAGTCTTCTCAGTGTCTAAAAGTTAGTAACCTTTACTTCTTCCACTTTATTGTTCAGAGGGATTTGAACATTCTATTTGGGATTACGAATCAAACTGACTCAACCAGCGCAGCTGTTTAAAGAAAAGCAATACTTCATTTACGATGGAAAAGGAACTTGAACTTGAGTAAAACCAAAATGGGGAAGGCGTTGAAAAAATCCTTTTAAATACAGAAAGCAAATAATTATGTTGGCAGTAGGGAATAACCGGGGGCACTCCTTGAAACAGTTTACCGTACTAGCGTCTGAAGTTCTAGGCTATACGGATATGTCCCTTCTTTGAATCACTTCGTATCATAACAACTCCAACTACCTGTTTACATAAGTGGTCAGAAACAATCTCTGTCAAAAAAGGCAGTTCACGAGAACGGACAAGTTAATCCGTTCATCAGTCGGGGAAGTGAACCGCACGGATGACACTTCGAATTTGCGCACTTTAGCGGAACGTGCGCATCTCTGAGATTATGTCGAACCACCGCGTGCACTCCGCAGGTCCCTCTGCCCTGTACTGGCTAATAAGTTGGCCGTGCACATTCCGAGGGGCTCTCGTCCGATGCATATATCCCACCATGAGTCACCAAGAAGGGGGGAAATTATTTTATTCCCCGAGCATTTTTGGGGAAATGCTCGGTGTTCGTCTGACAAGCCAGAGGTCACCAAATTCTCTGCTGCTGGTGCGCTAGATAATTTCTGGTACCCCTGAACATGTACATCAAAAAGCTTTGAACAACTCAGCAATGGAACCAATGAATTTTCGTAGGTTTCGTTTGTTGATAAACTCGCGATTTCAAGAACTCACTGATCTTCGTGTGGATAATAGATCTGACTTTGCCACTAAAATAGGGAAACTTGTATTTCGCATTCCACATGTCAATATTTTGCTGACTTCTAGAAATACAATTTTTAAAAAGTGGCAATTTTATCAAGGCAAAATTTGAAAATAAAAAACAAAACAAAACACGGGCCAATAAATGGAAACTCTCTTGTATTGTTCCAAAAAGGACTTCCACCGATTCTCCCACCTCCGTCAATTCTGTGGCCTGTGAACCCAAATATCTATTACTTTTAATGGAAGAGAAATAGACAAGATGGCGATATGTCAGCCTTTATACGTGTGGAATTTTTCGGGCAATAACTATCACGTGCAAGGTAAATGCGACATATTTGGGATTTTTCTCTTTTCTATAAATTCTTCCACCAGCATCCACACTTTTTTCCAGTTCGAGACAACATAATTCAAGCAGAGAGGTCAACCCCCAAACTGGAATAACTCTCGATATTTCTGTTTGATTTTCCCCACTCTTTTACAGTTAGTTTACGCTCCCTTGACTTCGTGATTTATTGTATTTTCACGTAACACTCGAAAGCCAGAGAAAACAACGGTTCTAAATTGCATACCAGAACCAACATGAGGGAAAAAAGTTCCTAAAAGGGTGATTGTAGGGAGTTTGAGACAAGGTCCGTGCTCCAACCAAGCCTTTAAACGTGACCGAGGTCTCCTCTCGGTCTAATAGATGTCTTTCCGTTTACAAATTGGTGGGTATTGCTAGTGTCACTCGTCGGTGTATTAAGCGCTGGCTCCTCGGGTCTCTGTTTCGACTCACGCGCTAACTGGGCCCAGAATCTTCAGCCCCCCCCCCGGAGTCGATGACCAGTTAATTCACAGCAAATATAATGTGTCACCTAGTTCATTGATAATGTCGCGATTAGATAGTTTGTCTGTCAGAGACAACCTGCCGGTTCTCCGGGGAAATCGGGACGAGAGGGGAACTGGTGGGAGGGGTCCAGGAGAATTGACTTCGACTCTCTGAGCTTGAGGTGTGGGATTGCGCCATCGTCACGTTGGAAGTGATACTTTGGATGTGATACGCAGTTATACCAGTTCTTTTCAGAACCTAACAGACTCACAAAGAGATCGTATCATTGCATGGTGCTACCGCACGCTTTCCACCTCAGTTATACCGGTTGAATTTTGAGGGTGGCTTGCCAACAACCCCTTTGCTATTTCATCATCAACCTAATCACCGTCGAGAGCGAACCTGGTTCAAGATAGGAAACAGCGTAAGAGAACACCTCACTAATCTCTTAATTGCTCCGACACAAGTTGCTGTTCTTTAGACAATAAAGGGCCTATACAAAACCGCATCATAATGCAAGCATGCCGTATATAATGTGTGCATGCCACTTGCTTTTATAAGAACCAGGAGATCAATGGCAGGGATTGACAATGCAAACGATTGCCACACTAATTCCACAGCGAACATCATTTGTTTTCAACCATTCAGCACTTCTTTTGATTTAGGGGATTAAAATTTTCCTTTAAGAGAGGTAACGCTTGCGAATGGAATAACAATGACAAAATCCACTTCCGAATTGAGATCAGCCATTTTTCTCACTTTTTGGCTTGGTTAACAGAGACAGTGGCAAATGTGAGAAAGTTTAGAGAAACTGGCACTTTCTGGCAGACATAATAAGTAAATTTCAGGGTTGTTGTTCTGAACTGCAGATGTTACAATCACATGTTTGGATGATAATGGCCAAAAGTTAATTTAGTTTTCCTTACCAAAAATTTGCCTCAAGGACCAACTGGATTCAGATAATGTACTTTCCTATCGAAATTCGTCATTACTCCAAACCTTTATTTAATTTCTGGAATGAAAACAAGCAGTCCAGATAGACAGTCCGACAGCTGAAAAGAAGACTAACAGTAAATCGGAACTATTTTTACACCACGTTTTCTTGTTCTTTAATTTGGCACTGCCCGCTTCCGGGCTTTTATGGTTAATCGCCACGAGAGGTATTCTCTGTCTCATGATTTTCCCTCCAATTTCTAAGAGTTGGATCTCAATATACAGTACAAAATGTACACTAAACGGACATTCCCTATTAACGGTCACGTGAGAATAACTCACTTGTGGATTGTTAATTAACAACACATGAAGATAATAAAAGAACAAAATAAGTAGTAAGAATACTGACAAGATCAAAAGTAGACCTGTGATTCTATACATAAACAATAAATATTGCCTTGTTTGGTCTGAAAGTCAATTGATTTCACGTCTTGGTAAAAAGACAACGAACCTTGTATAACTTGAAGGGGTCATTCTATTCCAAATTTCTCCAAATGTCTTCATACGTAATCAAACCGTCGTTTTCAGATAGCAGTTTCATATATCATGGGTGAATTGAACTACATCAAGGTCATACGTCAGCTCGAGTACAAGTTGGGGGAAAAACCAAAAAACAAAACAAAACAAAAAACCGGAAATCGTTGGACAACTTGTGATCTAAGAACATGTTTTCTCAGCTTTAGGTCATTGAGAAATTTACCCAGCGTACACTGGTGTATTGTTTCTAAAAACCTCAAATTGGAAAAAAAAGGTTGAAGCTTGTTTTTGGCGGACGACATACTGTAACATTAACTGCATTTAATATATTAACGAACTATCTCATAAATAACCTGAATGTACAACAACTCTGTTTACTTGCAGAAATTGCCAGTAATTTGATCTATCTTACAAAACATAAATATATCCAACACCATTTAAAGTATATGTACAGTGATTTTCTTGAGTCTTTTCATTTTTGTTTTAAATTTGAAATCATTAACTTTCGCTCCTCAACAAACACAGCGTACCCACGGCAGCATTATGCACATGTTTTCGATGTCTTTTTCTTAATTATACCCGATTTATTCAACATGTAAATACACGAAGAGGATATTGTCAACATTTCTCAAGGAGAACGGTTCAGTTTGGCTGATGTCCGAATCAATCAGATATCATAATGATCGTATCCCCAATACATGTACCGTCATCAGTAAACTCGTTTGTCTGTTCAGGAGAAAAGGGATGGATCTGAAACAGGAATAAACTATAAAGAATTTGTCTTTCTACTTTTGTAGTTACAAATGTTACAAACTAAACGCTTTCTTCAAGTGATTCTAAGGGTATGCAGAAACATCACTGGATATCCCGATCAGCACAGCTTTGAACACTGGGCCAATAACCCTCCCATTCTCAAAGAATAGTCACCTAACATCAGTTGCAATGCATCGTTGTTAAGTATTTCCATGTTTACCATTTGTAGACACCAACCTGCAGATTGTAAGATGATTACGCTGTACAAAGTGTTTCAAAAAAGTTCGCTTGTATCGAAACCCATTTTCACAAATTAAACGACCGACATAAACTGTCATCGAAACGAACTGCACATGCATCAACAAGACACACTAACCATGAACGGCAATTCCTACAACATTCGAAATACTTATTGGAAGAAGCAAAGATGGCTGTTTGACCTTAGAATTAAGCACGTTTGGGGGCAATTCTTAAGCACGGATGAGATATTTAGCGATCATCCCAACGATTCGGCCCGCCATGTCATGGCACGTGTTGGTGCCATGAAAATACACGTGTTGGTCTGCGCAGCCTGCGACACTCACCCACACATCCAAGGTGTTTGAACCCAAAGGTTTTGAACCCCTAAAAGCAATGTTTCTGACCTAAATTTAAAGACTGGAATCCCGATTAACGGACAAAACCCTCAGGCCAACGCGGAGGACTGTGCGACGCCTAACTGATCGTGTAACACCCTGTCAATACGTCGGCGACTGACGAAAATTCATCCCAGGCTTTTCCCTGTTCGGACACGGGAATCACAGGAGCTCTGTCCCAGGGTCTATTGACGCTACAACCATCGATTCCACATGATTTCTAAGACTGAATGCGAATCACCCACTCAACTGGGTCTGATGTCGCTTTCAATATCAAAAAAGGCAAGGAGACTTGAAAACTGACAACAAATTTGAAGAAAATTCTAATGGTCGCTGTTGACAACAAAGAACGTTCTGCTACAAACAACTACAAGGCAAAGCTCGCTCCGTGGGTTCACTGCACCACGGCGCACGAAACCTTCAACATCGAGCGTTTGAGCTACACTATCGGGACCTACATGTAATGTACATCAGGCTAAAAGGCCATTTAATACACATTCTGCATTCTCTTCTTGTTTTGTTCTGTTAATATTGAGACAAAGCACCACTACGACAAAAACAGAAACAAAAGAAATTAGATCACTGCGGGCGCATGGCTCACATTAGTAAATAATCAAAAATTTGATTCTGCTAGAAAGATCATCTAGCTGGGTATTTCAGAGTTCTTAAATATTCCAAAGTTACTTTGCGCTTAGTTTCTGGTGCACTCTACCAGTACAAAGTAACATTTGATTTTCAATATACCTTGTTTAAGTTCTTTGTGCAATATTTCTTCTTTTGCTATCAGAGTTATCTCATCTGCAGTTGACATCACTACTAATCTCGAAAGCGTCACTTGGGCTCTTTTTCGAGCCCACTGACCATCCTCTGTATACTCTGGAGCTCACTGGCTGCCGAGCTTACTACTGAGGCGCTGGGGCTCGTGGAGCCCTTGGAGGCGCTAATTGTAGGTGAATTGGCCGAGTGTCCAAGTAAAGTAGAGGAGTGGAGCGAGTTTTCGTAGGGCAGCGTGCTGGCCAATGGGCTAGCTGTGGTCACCATGGTCGTACTGGTAGCCGGCAAGGCGTAGGGCGAAAACCTGAATCGCGGGTGACCGCTGAATATTGCACCGGTGCAGGCATTGCTCGCGTAGGCCTGGCTCAACGCTGAGGGGTCTGAGTAGAGTCCAAAACCAGACGCGGCCAGACTGGATTGTGAGGCCAAGAGGCTCTGGTGAGCGCTCAGGGCAAACGCCGAATGAACGTCTAGACAGTGATGTGATGATGGTGAATAGGAACCAGACGACTGTGACACGAAGGGAATCATGTGAGACATGGCACCCAGGTTGGCTACACTACCTGGAAGGGCCATCTGAGGGTGGAGGAAAAATGGATGCGGCGTCGGGTAGACCGGCGTGACCACGGGCGGGTGCGGGCCGTGCCCCGTGGCTGCCGCGTGGAACGGGTTTAGCACGGACCCGGGCGACCCACTCCCTTTCTGCCCTGACGACGAGGACAAGTCACTTTTATCAGAGTCCCTGCCGCTGTCCGGTTTCCGGCTACCCGTGATACGATCCTCAGTGTCCGATTTGCTTCCTAATCCCACGCTGTCCTCATGGGGGCGTCTCTCCCCGAGGGTGGGGATTTTTTCCCGGCTGACATCCCTCATCTCCACATCCTCCAGCTTTGTCTCATGGCACCGTCTCTCGTTCTCTGCCCTACGGCGAAGCAGCTCCGTAACCTCGTCGTGATCGGCGGCTAGTCGTGCAGCGACATCTCTCTCGTGATGTGACAAAACTGAAGTCAGAATAAAGAAAGGATCGGCAAATTATCACTCAAAATCAAAATGAAACCCGCTCCAGCAGCAAGCGGTTGTGTAATCAGTTCACTGCAAGACCGAACGCCATTTTTCGAGAACTTAAGGTAAAAGGTCACTTTATGAAGTTTTTTTTCTGGGTCACAATCGATAACAGTGTTTCGAAAATCGTCAAGCTATGCATGCTTGTTGATTTTTGCATGTCAAAAAGGCAAACCGAATAAAAAAAAGGTTGATACAACTAAACCAATGCAGTTTGTTAAAATTTTCCGAAAATTGAGAAGAAAAACGTTTTCAGGTTTTGTAAGGATGTATTTCACGGGGATCTTTACTATAAATACGTGTAGTATATATATTTTCATTGTTCATTCAAATCTTCAAATTTCCACCTTGGTGCGTGCTCTTTTCTCTTTTATCTGTGCCATGCTCATGTCACAGCTTTGAGGTGACAGCAACAAATTTTAAGAATTTTCAGAAATTTCCCTTGAAATTTTCACATTCTTGATTAGAAGGAAAAAACTCTTCTGACGTGAATTGAGTTGTAGCGTTCTTAATCGGGGCCCCGTTGTATCAGGTTGAGCTGCAAACTGTGAAAGTGGATCCTGAATTATTTCCTCACTCACCATGAAACAATACACCCAAAGTGGGATTTTTCCCCATCCCCAACCTTGTCAGGTGTAAATGGGTGAATCACTAATGGATTGGAGATGGGGCAATGGGGCAGAGCTTAGATTTGGATGTGTTTTTGAGCCTGGTTATTCAATAATCGGATATGAAATAATCGGATATTCGGCGGCGAGCTGATGTGGAGGTTAATTTGCGTAATTGGTGCGTGGCTCAGTGCGTTTGGGGTCGCTAACGAGGTGCACCCGATAAGTTGACTTCCCGCGTAATGTTCTTAGACTAGAGTGACGAAGTTCAATACTAGATTTTGTGAATATGTGCCTCAAAATTTAATGTGAATTCTGTTACAGCAATGCCGCAACGACATTGCTACAATAGGTTTAGGCCTATTACTAGTGATGATATGCCAAACATATATGGAGCAAGCAAAAATTATGGTTGTACATGTAACTTGGGTTTCAATGCAAACTAATTTTCCGCAAATATTTGAAGTCTGTCCCTATTCCCAATCGGTCCCAGCTCTCTTACCTTTGTCTTCGTGCTTTTCGGAATTAGTCGTGCTGACTTCGCCAGCCTCCGGCTCCTGATCGCTAGCCCCGTCATCTGGGTCCCTGTGGTCCAGCTCGTAATTTGCTGACGTGTATTTCCTGAGGAGAATGACAAAGGAAGGTAACGGACATAAAACAGCCGTTGGGCTTTCAGCATTCACGGTGAATGGATTTTCGAACAGACAATGGGGTCATTAAGAAAATGGGACTAATAAGGATTTCATTTTGAGGATTAGCATTTAAGATGGTACATAATTAGTTGTATTAAGATGATCTCTTTGAATAAAGGACGTCATTAAGGTGGCATGTCATTGCAAATCTTATGACAGCTTTTGTCAATGTCGAATGGTGATTTTCTTTATAAATCACCCCCATACAGCACAAGGCGTCGATTCAGCACTGCGTTTACACTGTCTAAAGACTTCCAATTGGCCTTTATTGGGGGGCCACGCGCAATACCCACATCTACCAGGTTCCCACAACCTCTAAACCCATTTTCTCAGAGATAACCACCATTTGCACGCTTGTTATCTGGACCTTTTTTTTTTTATCTTACTGTAGATTCAACATCTGCAAAGATTTTTGGTCTTTCTCCGGCCACTTGTTTTAACTGAACGTAATTAATTAGATTAAACGGTGGCAAAATGGTTTTGAAATGCCCCTTATCTGTAAGGCCTTCGCCTTTTCTAACAGTCCGTTTATCTACAGTCGGTACAGTTTTTCCCTAAGGTAAACAACGACCTATCGGTCCCATCTGTTTCACAAATGGAGTTTTCTAGACTTATGATCTGGAAAATATTTCCGCACATGGTGTTGTGCAAACACAGCGTAATTACTGGGTGAGAGGTTAATTGACAAGTATGGCATCATGCTCTTGGTTTTCTGTACTTTTTTCAGCATATCATGCACCGAAAGGAAAACACTTCAACAGTTTTCGACAACGTCCGTACACAGCATGTACCAGCTATACAGATGTGCAAATATACAGTCGTGTAGAGTGAACATATTTGTCTTACACAAACACCATAATCCTTTCCTTACACGCACAATTCAGCTCAAAGAAACCACTGTCGTCTATTCCTTGGCTGCAAAATTGCATTAAAGCATGAGCTATAAATTCAGCTCATTGTAGGTTAATCAACCCCTGCATTTTTAAAATTGCCGATTCGTGAGAAAACAATGTAATAACCCCATCGTGGCCTACATATAAATTATTTTCTGGGAGAATTGCTTCTTTTCAAGCAACGACTGGAGTGCACGTCGACCACGCCGGATAGGGGAAAAGTACACCACAAGCGAGGCGTGACGACACACTGGACCGAAACCAACGACGATTAAACCGGCTCTGTGGGTTCATTTTTCTACCCAACTGGCCTTCACAGATTTATTAGAAGCACCCTCTGTCTGTTGTGCTGTTCAAGTCCCCCCCCCCGAGTATAAGCAAGCCCCTGGGGAAATGTCGGAAATTTCACTGGTGTGCTGCGGACCTGTGGTCCTTTGTTCTCATCAGGCACGTTTACAATTTGTTTCGTTTGATGTATCTGAAGGATTTTGGAAATAGTATGGGAACACTTCAAATGAGCTTCATCCTCTGTGAAGCATTAGCCAAGGGTAAATAGTGACCATTCAAACTACTGGGGGCCTATGTGCCTTACATGCGACACAAATCGACTTTCTTCAAGTGAGTCCGACAAAAAGGTCAACAGTATTTAGAAGAACCTCCTTACCTCTTCTCTCGTTTGCCCGATCCTTGATCCCTGAACCCTTTTGCGAATGGGTTGTTGTCGATTTTGAGCTGTGTGACCTGTTAACACACATGAAAAGAGATGGTTAGAAATCACTTAATTCGAAGGAAAGAGGAGGCTAAAAAAAATCAGAATAGAAAATATGCTAAGTGTATAGATACTGTCCTCGTGCATACATGTAGGGCCTACTTGTATCTGTTGTAAGAGTGCATGAATATTGTACAAGGCACGTCAACAGGTTTTTTTTCAAACAGTGAAGGCACTATAGTAAGCGTTTCCCCATCGATTTTTATGAAATTGAAATCGTAAGGAATCGAAAGCTTTGGTATCGATACCAAACGTACATGATGCGGTATATCTTTCCTTATTAATACTGAAAAAAGCAAATCAAGTTGAAAGTTTTGAAACGGAGACAGCATCAATCGATGTCATTTTTAAGGGAAACAACTTAAAATAAAAAAAAGATGAGGGAAGAATGATGAGAGGGACGTAAGACCCAGTGAAAGAGTGTTCAGTGAGCAGACGTAAATAGACGCCGTAGAGACCCACTCGTGCCGGAAACGCGGAAACCAACCGGCGCTCGCGCCTAAAAACGATCCCGGGTTCAGACAACACGAGCTTGTATTACCACACGTATTACCGGTCAGACTCCTCGGTGATTCCAACAAACTCATTCCGAATAGGGGAGGGACAGATTGTCGACCGAGTACGAGGACGAGGAGGAGGCGCCACGTATTAGGGGGATCAGCCTTTGTTCCCCTGCCCGAGGGGTAGGCTAAAGCGCAATGAGCCAGCGAGACGAGCCAGCTAGATCCGCTGCTCGATCCGAAATTATTGCTGCCGATCTCAAGTTACCGGTAACAACAACCCCCCCCCCGAAATGGACTAGTGCTCTTCATTTCTGCTTCTTGCGACGAGTCTTCAAGCACTCTGTGGCAATCACGAATGTCGGCGGCGTCCGGCACTACGATGGCGGTACGGTAGAGGGAGCTCAAAACGGGGAATAAAGTTTAGGCAGAGACAAACTGCTGAGTCATGCTCCATGGGTCACTTCGAGTTAAACCGGCCTTGCCTATTCTATTGCATAATTAATTTCCGGTTTTCACAATTGGTTACCTCTATCTCCTTTACTCCCACACACCTTTACCGACTACTTGCCGAGTTCTATACCACCAACCGCATACTGAACTCATCCAAGCGGCAGGTTTTCCCCAATTAAATTCCCATTATGTTTGACTAGTTCAGCTATACCCCCCCCGCAAAATGAGACATAATTCTTATCAAACAGACAAAAAAAAGTTGTGTACGTTTCACAGAGAGCGCCAAAGCATGAATAAAGAGAGCCGACGACGTGACTACAAGCTGTGAGCGGTTTTTCTTTGTTCCCGGTGTCGGGCCGGTTGACTGAGCTGGAGCCAGCGAGACCCGACAGTCGAGTCCGCGGCAGGACCAGGCGAAGGGACAACACCGGAACCGGACATCCGTGGGATGGCAGCGGGGAATGGACGATTGACGAAAAAGGTCAAAATCGAACTGACAGCACGGGTAGTGAGCGGTCAGCCGATGACAAAAACGGGGGAATAGGATAAAAAGGCAAAGGGTTATGAATAAAAAAACCTGAAAATAACTGTACAGATTTACATTGACAGGACTGTTTTGAAAAAATTAACAAAATATTAAACAAAGCTTTCATCTGGTAAAAAAGGTATGTTTCACTTTATGGTATACATACATGGAGTTTGTAAGCCCTTTTTCCAAACAGCTTACAAAAAGCACTGCTTCAGTTTTTTTTAAACACAAATAACTTCCTTGATCACCTTTTTTTTCAATAACTACGTTATTCACCAAGTAGGCCTACATCTTCTTGGGCATAATCGTGTAATTGCCATTTCTCCATTTTCCTCCACACACTGGTGGTGGATTTCCATGGACCAAGTCTTTTGAGGGCTTTGGAATCCCTTCCCAGCCCGCATCAAATGCCAGGTTTAGAGAATATTAACAAGCCAAGCATATGCAGGCCTACTTGAATTCTCGAACCATACCATCATGGTGGTAGTTTTAAACGCTGAATTAAATGCATAAAAAGCATCACAGCATTAATGCATGAACGTCAGACATTTTCTAGGTAGTCCTGGATGGATTTGCCACTTCGAGCAATGCGCCGGTGAACACATCACTTGGTTACATCCATCTACCAACTGCAACGGCATGTTTATCGTTGATCTAACGAAAAAAGCTCACTAGTGATCAACACTATTCAAATGTAACACTTTATGAATGAGCGAACTGCCGGAAATGATTAACAATTCAAATTCTCTGGAACGGTGATCAGAGGGATCTGCGGGCTTCAGAAACGGGCAAAACAACTTTTCTTGCTCACACAAGCAATTCGGTGCGTGGTGAGCTTTGGGTCACTGCCGTGACTGTCTGCATTGTGAGTAATTTCATTCCGCAAAGTTTGTACCAAGCTTGAGGCTTTTCGCGTGAAAAACAAGTGGGCGTCCCGCAGTAAATAATGGGTAATTTTGGCACGCAACACCCGATTGCCTACCCACGGGGTAAGTGACAAGGGATGGGGGGGGGGTCGTTGTTTAAAGAGTCAGTTGCGGTCACACAACCTGAAATACTATCGACTTGGGTTATTAAACCACACAGGCACACAGCGTATGCGTATTGCGACGCCACTCACGATATTGCGATGAAATTTTCATCAACATCTCGCTCGTGCATTATTCAATGACGTCGGCTTTGATTCTGCTTTTTAATTGCTGTTTGGTCGGAGGGGGCAAGGTGTGAACTGAGCTTGGACATGGATTCTGGGACCGACTCAGGTTTCATGCACACAGAAATATCTACAAGACTGATGAAATGTTGGTGCCTTTTTATGAACTGTTAATGGCCGGGTTGCGCACAGACATCGAATCTCGGCACCAAAAATGAGTGTGAATTGAATATTGACGTAGTTATTACTCAGCCGGGGCGCAAACAGTGTTTTAACACGTGAAGTCGGCGGGAGACTCCTTGCGGTTTCTGATTCGATCACGCAACACGAGGCTGCACCGCCTCCATTAGTGTCAGAAATGGGATTACCGGAAAGAGACAACCATGCAGCCTTTTGCCCCGTCATAGGAGAGCCCAGCTACACGGGGACTGCAGGCATGGATTCCTCAGCTAATTACGAGGAGTGATTTTCACCAGCGGGATTGTTGCCAGACACTTGGGACGGGCGACGGCACCTCGGCGGGTCCCGCTAGGGACCCTCGTAGGTGATAGGGTTGGCAACGCGCTGGCAGGCACATCACACTCGGCCGGGCAAGTCATCTTCCCGCAGTCTGGTACGCACACCGCTGACGCACAGTTTCGCGCCCGGACGGAGCGATTTTTTGTTACCCCCTTAATGAAGGCGGCACCTTCTAGCAGCACGGAAGGTGCTGGCCGCATGACCGATAGGTGCACAGGTGCTAGCTGAGGTAGATTGGCCGTTCTCGCCTTGGCGTGAAAGTCCAACACCAGACCCGTGAGCAGTAGATGTGCTTCTCGTTTAGCCGTTCAGGCGGCCCTGACGCCCCGGTCCATTATTTTCCATTTGCGGCGCACGGAAGATGTCATTCCTGCCCCCCTTGTTTTACTAGATTGACCATCACAAACTGTTGCAAAAGTGCACGTGTCTTTCCGCCTCATCGCCGCTGCACTTTGTGGAATGCCGGAATATACATTATTCGAAATAACACTCTGCGATATCTGTACCTATCATCATCGTAACCGAATAACACGTAATTGTATTTACATACATGTTGTTTTAGAATCTACATGCCTAATGTGAAATTGCAGTTAACTTCCAGCACCATAACCTAGCATACAAAATGCATTAGAACAGGCGACAGTGTTGGGACACACCATCAACAAAACAACTATATATACACGCGGTTAAATTCCCCAAGAAACGATCAAACAAGCCATACCAAACAAAGCAAGATACACAGGAAATAGCGATGACAGAAGCACTGTTTCAATAAACATTCAATCATAAGTCACCAATTGAAAAAGTTGTTCAGTAAAGAATGTACAAGGGAAAAACACAAAACAAGGAAATGCGAACAAAATAATTCACGAAAAACCAAGTATATGTACATAAAAGCTCCAGAAATCATTGGCCTGTCTCAGCAACGATGACTAATCCTTTCTGTTCATTTCGTTCACGCATTATCTGTCCTACTGTGTGGGACACGCGCTGGGAATTTATCAATTAAAATTAATCAAGATCATAGGCTGCAGAATCCACAAACTGCAAAATGATTCCTACTGCAGGGTCGATTCCACCATGATTCCACCGTTCTTGTATTATCCTCCCCCGCTATAAAAAAAATGACGAACAAAAAACACCAGTCAACAAAATACTTAAGAGGCTTCACGCCATTTTCGCTAATTAACTGCACGGTCCTTCGTATGTATTTCCTGTAAAGGGCTTGCTGTTGAGGGCGACTACACATGGAATCCGACTGGCGCCAGCGAGTTTGAACAAGCTGAGCGCGCAATATTTTGACCTTGACAGGGTGACAGCCGGTTCCAGAGGCAGGGAACCCAACCAAGCATAAGATATGACTGCACACCCTACAACATCTGGGTTTACTATTAGGATAGTCAGGATCCTTTTTATGCACGCACTGTCCCCCAACTATAAATGGAGGTGCGACGCCTATATCAAAATGAATTGTGAATGCCCAAAATGCTACTCGTACACTGTGACTAGATATTTAGGTTAATATTTACCATAACCAAAGTTCTTTATGAAAATAATTTTAAAAAGTAGGCTGCACAAGGTGACGCACCCACCTTTAGCTACCACCCGACCAGGCATGTTTAATTATTTACCTCTTTCTGGCGACAGTTTCATTATTGACACTTTTTTACCCCGCATTAATCGGCCGGCTGGCTTGAAAGCAACCCGCAACAGCCACGGTCAAATGCAGTGTTTAATTAATTGTATTTGCTCAAAATTCAACAAAAAAAGAACAGTTTAAAATATTACTGATCAGGGGCTGCTTTTTTTTTAGGCAGAGAAAATGTCGATATTGACAAGATATTTATCACAAAAACAGCAAAAGCACATTTGTTGGCGGCCATCGGAGCCAACGCGATGATCGATGCGATTGCAACAAACAAAGGAACAGCTGATGTCCGTTGTGCGGCATTGTTCATACTTCATTAGACTGCGGGATGAATTCTCGCATGGCAGAATACCAGCATGCATGATGTCTTTTTTTTCTCCAGGCGTGCAGAGAGAAGGACAGTTTTAAACCCTAAAAAAAAACTGCAGCTTAGAAATGAAAGATGATTTTGATTTGGCCCGAAGATTTACCGCGTGTAATTGCCACCTCCCCAATGTTTCCCTGAAACACAAACAAAACATCCCAAATTAATACCGAGTATCGACCAGACTGGAGTGGCGGGGCCAAACGCGGGCAAAGTCTCGGGGAAGGGCAAGTGAGTCAGCCGCCAGCGGGCAATCAGGGTAAGATTTACGGCCCAGTTTTTGCTGGATTGCTGGACTCTGCCGTCAGACTGTAAAAAGTGCCCCTCCGATGTGCAATGTGCCAATTCTGTGATGGGAACGAACTCCTGGAACAAACACGATCGCATATTTTGGTATGTCAACAATACACGATACCATCATTAAAATAAGACGTTTCGGAGACACAAAAATTCTCAATGTGATGACAGTTTGTTTTCCTTGATCTTTATTTGAAAAGGAAAACTAAATAAAATATGTCGATAATTCTCTGTTTTGTGGATACAAAAAGTCTGAATTCTTTGAAAGTTCATCAAGAAAGCGGATTTTGTGTTTCGTAACGCAAGAGCGCTTTTCGCTTTTTCTTGAACAGCCGTCGAGACGCCTTTTTTGTATTCATATATATTTTGCATGCGTTCTGGCAGCCTTAATCCACACACACTTGATCGGATGAAAGTAAAAGACGATCACCGGAGCTTGAGCCAGACTTCATCAGTGTCAAATGAATACAGAGACGGAAAAAAACATGGCGAGTACAGGCTAGGAGGTAGATGTATTGCTGAAGGCAGACAGGCCGGCCAAACGATGAGAGATGAGTGCATTTATCGCGCCAGGGGCGTCGGCGTTGTCTGCCCCCAGCGCATCTCTCACGGTCAAGTGTATACAAATTCTTAGATACACACACAGAAGTCTTCACTTGCCACCTCTAAGTGATAGATTTCACAACAGCTCACCGCAGAAGATGAGTTTTTGGAGAAGAGGGAGAATGGTCAGAAGAAACTCAACGGAGACAAACGAGAGGTTGATGATTTACGAGACAGAGCGATAGGGCCATGTCTCCCCAAGGAAAAATATACACAGTCTCCCTCGTGCCAAGCATAAACAGGAAAATTGCTAGTAAAACTACTAATAAACTGTTTAATATTCGCCTGTCACTCACGGAGCCGTTATCATAATATGCATGCAAGGACCCCAAAGCTAATATGGGTATTAAATTAATGCCAGAAAACCCACGCATTTCTCCTTACTATTCGGACTTGGGTTGGCAGGACAGCTTAACATGAAGCTTGGACTAATTGCGAATAAATAACATCCTCTCCTACACAGCCCATCAAGTAAACAGTCTCCCTTCCTGCTTTTTCTTTGCAGTTGATCAATATTCAGACTCTCCATCCAAGAGAAAAATGCATAAAAACTCTGTTCTTGCGTAGGCCGATTTACGAAAAACAGAGAGTGAAAATACCTTTAGTATAAGATTTGATTTGTGGCTGGTTTCGGGTGACAAAGATTATGCCAATCGTCTCGAAAGACGAGTCACGCAGCAAGAAAAAAGCGGCGAAAAGCCCGCAAATGAGTGATTCATTTAGTTCCATGAAGTTCTTCGACCCGAACAGAATCCGATATCGGCATCACGTGGCTTCTATTGCACCACGCAATTCGTCGGAGGCATTAATTTTCTACCGGGGTACCCTAATTAAGAGAAACTGCGAAAGCCAGACAAGGCCATTAATTTCATCACCTAAAAGGAATTTTCGCCACGGAAAAAAAGGCAAAGATTGGGGGAAAATATGTACATCGTGAGGAGAGGGGTTAATTTGATCACCAAGGAAACCGAAAAACTGATGGCAGCATCTATCTCATCAAGCTAACAAGCAAAAAGCCTTTCCAGGCTTAGCAAACAAAATGAACTGAAGGTCACTCAGAGCACAGGCCGAACTTGAATCTACCTTTCACTATGTGCGTATTATTTGATTCGTCGGGGTATCATACAGTCGAGGTGAGTTTACCTTTTCGTTCTGGTAGGCAGTGACGGCGATGAAGTCGGTTTCTCGGAAGACGAAAGTCCGGAAGTGACTCCATGGCAATTTCAAAATGTCGTTGGCCTTGACAATGTGGAAGCGAGGCTGGTATTTGTGCATCGAATTTAAAATCGTCTGCAGAAGGGGGAAAATACAGAAAGCATAAGTTATTGTTAGAATCCATCAAACTTTTCAATTCATCTACAGAATAGACCGAATAACAGGATACAAAAAGTGCTTTTTAACTCAACATATTTGTCCCTAGCAAGTCAGGACCGATATTTACCCTCGTAAACTATATTTCTCCTCCCAAATAAAAACAAAAACAGAGGCTGTTGTTGTTGAAAGTAAATGACAATAAATCAACTCCGAACAGGAAATGCTCTCGTCATCTTACATGCAGGTACAGTACACATGGTCTCGTAATTATCGAAAGCGAGAAAAACAAGGCCCGGCAATTGATCTGTTTTGACCGGGGGTTTTTCTAATGATTTTGGCCTCGCAGCCTGTAGAAAATCTCTGTGGGATTGGCAGGCCACCAGGAAGGCAGGGGCCGGGGGTGGTTGTCAACCTTGTCAATATTTTTATCGCATGTCATTGCATTAATGCGCCATTCCAAATACGATTTCTGAAGAGGCTGAACTACCACTGGTAATGAACAATATGAAAATGACAAAGGTATTATCTCCCATATTCGTTTTCTGGATCCAGTTTCAACAATTTCTTGAGACGTTAATTCACTCTGTGAAGAACTACGCGATGACCGGGCAAAATAAACAGAGGGAGATGTGAGGGAGTAGCCTAGTTTCCTAGACACCCATCCATTTAACAACTTCTTGTCGAAATGCACGCCTCGACAGAGCAGTGCCCCATAACTGGACGGTGGTTTGGATGAAATAATCCAAGTGTACATCCCGAACAAGCCACTGTGCCACACGCGACCATTTAGTGTAACATCAGCGCTCATGGGGTTGGACAGAAGTAATAACGGGGAGAGATATAAAACAATGCTAAATTTACTTTCTTTTTTAAATAAAAAGACTAAAATTACATCAACGTTCACTTCTAAACACATGTACGACTAACGATCAACTGGAACCTGATTAGCAACACGTGGTCGGTGAGAATTTAGCAGCCACAATGCACTAACGATTAGCTTCTCATATCGTCAGCCGTGACAAAATATCGAGTTTTTGGAGGCGCCGACTGTTTGAAGGGGACAACCCTGACGTGCGTCACAACACACAAAGGACAGAGCCGCTTGTGAAATCGCGCTGTGTTTCCACCATCTTCATTACCAACGAAAATCCTCCTAATTACTTTCCCTTAAAAACTATCAATCATGTGCTGCAAGTTCGTTTTATGATAGAATCGCGACTATTATCACCAGACCGTTGACTTTTCCACAGCTGTATGATACACAAAACGATAAAAAAGGAAGTTTGGAAATTAAATGTGCTGAGCAAACAGTCTCCGCCTAAAAATTAACTGTCAAAGAATTTGAACACTGTGTCAGTTAAATCGTATTTTAAATTAACTGCACTGCTGAGTCGTCGTATCCACTTTTCAATAAACAAATCCCAGATTTATTTGATAATTGCCTGAGCTAAGCGGGCAAACGAAGGCGTTCGCTCCGCGATACCAAAATGGTGGGTTTGATACGCACCCAGCCGTTCCAAGCATGCACTTCAAAAGCTTAATTGTTTAAGATATGCATTACTGGCGTTGTAACCGAGACGACCTAATCGGTCCGGGATTACAGGCTGCCCTAGAATTCCAAACAAGAAACTGATCCACGAATCTGAGAGCCGAATGGGCCGATTTATGGCCCGCGCCGTTGGTAATCAGTTCAAAGACGCGGAATTTATGAGCGAAATGGAATGAGAAAGACTCTCCTCTCCGCGCGGCAAGTGCAAAAGCCCAAATGGAACCAAATTCAGATGAACCCCAAAAAAACCCCGCTTTTTGTTTCTCGACTCGGCAAATAAATTAAAAATGAACAGAAAACGTGGAGCTCATGATTTGTTTCTTCGAAAAACAGCTAAAAGATTGGGCTTGCAAATGTAGTTTCCATTTGAGTTGGTCATGCGAATTACACTTGATAATCCCCGATAGGTGATGGCGTGCGGACGCATGAAGTTGAACTTCAATAGAAGTAGGAAAGAACTGGGATTATATTCTCCCCTTTTGGTGTCATGGAAAGGAGGTCAGAGGTTAAGACAAGAAAGTAGATAATAGTGTTTAATCTGGGCCAAGTAGCCGCCTTTCATGGTACAAGGCAGACGACCGTACGACACTCCAAAGCGATTACTGTCTGTGTTGTCACAGGGCTTGTCTACTGTACACAAGTCACTCCAAAACCAAAGGTGGCCTGCAACCCCCATAAAACGCGGCTGATAAATAACCCTAAAATATCGATTAAGACCTGTAATTTATTTAAACATCATTAAGGGGACGCGGTGGAAGGAAATAAGCAGGCACGACAGGAGAAGGGTGTGCACGGTGGCGTGTGCGTGAGGGCTGGCATCCTTATGGGCTGGCTGCCTTTGCCAGTCGGTGCTGGAGAAGGCGGTCGAGACAGAGAGCGAGCGAGCGACTGGTATAAGAGCGTTGATTCACGCCTAGATGTCGCCCCGCCGGCAACACTAATTGATGTGCGATCACCCTCGATCAAAAGGCAGCGCTGACATGCGGCATGATCTTATCCATTTTGCGATATCAAACTGATAAAGAACCACTGCTCGGTTCCCGCAAGTCCATGCACCGCACCGCCACTTGAAAAACAGAGCACAGTCGCTGTTGAGGAAAAGGCCAATGTTTACTCGTCAAACTTTAGCTCAACAGCACACGGGGAAGAAGAAAAACCCTGAGACAAAAGTGGCGATCAAATTATGAGCTTCTATAATGGATCTTGTCTGGTGGAGGGGAGGGGGGCGACTGATATGCGGCAGTCGCAGGTAGCCGTGGTGCTGCTTATATCTTGACACAGTGAGCTTATGCAGATAACATGCCACTTCACACCAAATAAACGGCTTCTCTAGACGCCTAAAGCTGATAACAGCACCGGGCTTTAAAGTGTAGCAGACCAGTTGACTTGTCACAATAGCCAACTTTGCTTTTCTTCACCGGGGTGATGAAAATCAGGCTTACGGAGATCAAATCAAATCTCTCGGACTACCAAGGACCTTCTTAACACGGCCTCATTGAAAAGAGATCTACGTTCTTGGGGTGCTTTAGCCGACACATAGAGGGCGCGCCGTTTGTTCAAAAGACAAGGCTGTGCGCTCATTTCAAACTCGGAACTATCTCCGCGGCTGACAGATTCGAGACAGAGGAAGACGTGCAGGCGGCACAGACATGTGTGCTGTTGGCTGAGCGACACGGCAGCGCACGGTGAGCTCACCGTACCGTCGGAGCAGGGTGCTGGCGTCAGCCAGACAAGGCGATGCACTTACGGCTAATAAAAATGGCATAGTTCTCACCGATTACGAACTAATAGCCGTCTGGGATGAGAATTGACTTAGCACCCAGACTGCGAATAAAGCATCGTGGTAATACACATAGCAGACTTGTCCCGGAGAGTCAGTGCGAAAAAAAAACTAAAATTGTTTCATATGATATGAGGCTTATTTATTGTCCTAACAGACGGCGTGCAGCTCATGTCTGTCGCGCGTTGATCGGAAGCACAGACGCAACGCCACAAGCCCGCAAATGATTTGACACCATTTACAGCGATTCAAGGACTGCTAAAAGAAAAACCTTAAACCTATGCACTTTCCTCAATACCTGACTCTCAGTCTCTTTTAATTCGGAGTAGGGCATTACAAGCGGGGTAGTAACGAGACAAGCGTATATGAATGATAAATACCTTTGGCCTGCTGACAGAGACAGAAATATGTAAGAACAATATCTTCAAGATGTCGGGGATCGAAGTCATAAAGGAGGTTCATTGTCCGCTATCAACGTACTGTATATTTCCACGCTCTCTCTTGTTTCAATTTGGAGCCGACGACTGCCCCTCTACAGTTGGCATCTTAACAGTGCGCTTGGTCCACCTTCTTTTAACTTTGCCGGTTCTTAAAAGGGGCTAGCTGTCTTCGCTTAATTGTTTAAGGTACAATAGAACGAAGACCTCTAGCCAGGCTTGATTTATACCCGCAAGGTGCACTTTGCTCCGCGGCGTAGTTTTGCAAAGGTTTTGTTTTATGCGACTTGTTCGGTGGGAAAAAAATATTATTAATGTACATGTCCAGATAATAAACCAAAGAGTCGCAGACAACAGAAGAAGCGAAGCCGATCCCGATTTCAAATGGGCGGTGACAAATGTCTCTACCGTCTAAATATAAACAGAAAGAGAGATGGCGCCACCACTTCTAGAATGCATCAACTGATAATGAACGAATGTTTCAGTTGATGGGGCGCGCCGGCGCCGAAAAGTGGTGACGTCATCGCGGCGTTACGTCATTTTCATCAAGGCACCGCTATATCTCCGATGTTATCTACCGCCTTGTTTAGTCTCGTGGGCCGGGGTTAATTTCAACGCCGCAAACGCTGGCGATCTTTTTGGAAGTTTCTTTAAATTAAAAGGCCCGCGTAAAATACACAAACATTTTTTTTCTTCCAAACCATCACCGGCAATTTTGATGTTGATCCAGTGTCTGTTAAGCCGGCCCCATCTTATCTTTTAAGCCTTGTAATAATTGACGCTTCCCCGCCCCTAATGCCGCCCCACGTATCATACTGTCTGTCACCATAGTGGCAAAACGTCTCCAGCAAAGAATGCGATCTGCTATGTTTCCTGTCACTGCAGACAGCAGGTATACAGATCACACATACATGGCATTCTCAAGTCCTGTCATAAGACGTATAAAGGCTTAGGGGCTCTGGCATGATGTACCTCGTACAAACACGATAAGATTCCTTAGAATTACTACAAATCCACGTGTTTTGGGTGGAATTGAAAATGTAATACTAGGATTGCATTATTTTGAAAGAATGAGACAGCGAATTCAGACACATCATATAAAAAAAATCCAGAATTGATTCTTTTGAAGTTGTGACCCAGTGATCGAGATGACTAGTGTACGGCAATGCATTTGGGCCAACTGATGTGTTCACTGGCACTGAAGCAGCTT